GGGAGAGCCATCAGGCTTCAGCATAAAAAGCTTGCACGTGGCCAGATTTACCTTTGTGGCTGTAAATTGCTTGCTGCCTGGGACAGAGCCAGGTTTTGATTGAGAGATAAAGTAGTTCAAATCTGTCAATAATTAACTGTCACTCAATTAAGGCTTTCTTAACAAATTAGCACTTGGTAGCACCTAGGGTGCAGGTTTTTCATGGGAAAAGGCTGATAGAGTGACGTTGGCCATTAAGTTTGCCCACTGAGTATCAGCTAATGTCCTGCTCAGTTTAAACAGCACTGTGTAAATCTGGTGAATTGGTTCCCAAACCCTATTTCTGCCAGATTGCTTTTAAGATTAACCATTTGTGCCCTCCGAAGCTAAACAATGCAGGACAGGGTTTGCTAAATAAGAGAGTTATCTGTGATTGATTAGGATTTCCTGTCTGTCAGCTTTGAAGGAGCACCCTGATGTAAATGAAGACGTAGCTCCGAATTTCCAGAAATCAGGTGGAGCCCCCCTAAAATCCCGCAGGTCCTTGGGAACGGATGGAGCAGTTACATATGTGTGTGTCTCCAGTGCAAGCTGCTGTGATGTGTTTCTGCCTCACACAGGGCCTCACTTCTCCAGCCTGCCCCTTCCACTGTGTTGGTGGGAAGGTTAAAAGGGAAAACATTTCTTCCCGCTTTATCCCACGAGGAAATTTTGATGCAAGCAGTTGCCACCTGTGACCTCTTGAGGCCTTGAGTACCTGGCTTCACCAGGGCTCCTCTGGTCAGATGCATTTCCAGAAACATTGCAAAGCTCCATGCTTATGCCTCTTTCCCAGATTCCTGGAAGAATCCTTCTCTGGCAACGGAGGTGGCATTGGTGTTTTGGTAGCAGACATTTTGCCAGTTCCCTTTCACCCCTCTCCAAACTAGCGATGCCGTGGGTATGTCGTCCCACTCTTCCTCTTAATTCTCCATTCAGAAATTGTGAGTGTCAGATGTCAGCCAGATCCAGCAGAGCCATCCCAGTTTACATCCATTGGTGCTCTGGGCCCGTGTTTGTGCATGCTGCTGGATCAACGCTGCTGGGATGGGAATTCCCTTGGTACATTAATTCACAGCAAACCGCCGACTCTGGAAGCGATGATCATTTATCACATCAACCCTGCTGAGGAGGAATCCGTCTCTCACGCGTCAGAAAACCCTTTGCTCTCCGTTGGCATCAAATTCCCCCGGTGTCACACGCAGTTGCACCTCCAGGAGGTGTAATCACCGAGTCTGTTTAGAAGTTAAATGTGAAACTCTGGCAAACGCAGGTTCTGATTCACACTGTATTACAGGAAAAGGCTGTGAGGTGGAAGCTGATTTTAGCTTCAGCTACGATCCATTCCTCTGATACAGGTTTATGCTCAGTATGGGTTTGGTTAAATCAGTCACTGCTTACCCCGCTGAATAGTTTTCTGTCTCTTTTGACCAAAGCATGCCTTACCTGCAGTGTGGGCCAAAGCAATGCTGGACAAGAGTTTAAAAACAAAATTTGGGAAGCTTTCCAGGTTGTTCTTTTTGAATGAAGAACTTGGGGATGCACTCTGTTGTCTTGTACAAAAACTAATCCCAATGCAGCTTTCTTTCTATTAATCATATTGGAAGAGCTGCCAGAGAGGGACAGCTCTTAACCAACACCACCCTACTGTGGTTCAAAGATCTGAACTGTTTCAGCAACCTGCATGTGGAGGGGTTAAAAGCACATTAAAAAATATTTTGTGTAGCCCTGTCCTAGTACTTACATTAAAAGTTTTAAGAAGTTTATAATCATAAAGCAGGAGAAAAGGAAGGGCATTTGATAGTATAAAACTGCACCCTACCCTGCTGAATAATCAAAGCTG